TTAAGGGAATGAAGGCTTATAGGAAAATTTGAACTTAAACTTTAATTTGTTAGTTAACCCTTTGTTGCATCATTTCCACTCTAGTAGACAAAAGTTTAAATTTGTTTATTCTTCTGTAAATGCCTTGACAGATTCCATTCCTGTGTTTATTCATTCTATATCATTAGAACTTTCAACTGTCGATCATAGAAGGCTGTATAACATCACTAAGTAAAGCATTGCTATTTGGAAAATGCCTGCTGCTTCTGTTTCTAAGTTAGTACAGTTTCTCATAGTTAACATTATATAATATTGCTTACACTTTCTTATACTGTCATTTTTTATTCATAATTAGTAATTTTAGACATTTTATTTTAAATGTCAGTTTGAGAAAGTTGTGGAGTGAGTAGATAAAGATCTACTGAAAAGAGTGAATTGAAACCCAAATGTACTGCTTATCAAGTCAAAATACCACTGGAAATGTTTATGTTTGGCAAGGAATTTCTAGAACATTTGACATTTGAATCCAATAGGTACAGGTTACAAAATCGTAGCAAAAATGAATTCATTCACAATCGACGAAAGGAAGGTATTTTGGGGGATCTGTATGTACATGTCAGTTGTAGATTTACCATTTAGAAGATGGTAATGATCACTGCAAACAAGGCAGGAAATGATTTCAAATGCCATGACGGTAAATCGTTGGGAAGAGATTTGTATGCATGTACGTATATGCATGCTGTCCACTGTAGTGTTACTGTAGCAATTATTTAAAATGAAATTTGAATAATTTTTTTTATTACTAAAGTTAAGTAAGAAAAGATATAAACATTTTCGTCTATTTTCTCTAGATTATTTGTATGCAACAAAGGGTTAAAATAAATATAAATCCCTACAAAGTACAAATATTAATTCAGCATTAAGTAAAAAATGTATCTAATTTGAATCCTGAATCAGTCGTTTCAATGCGCATACGTGCTTTCACATGTTTTAAAACACGTGTGTAACATTTTGTAATTCTAGGCCTACTTCATACTGTACTCTGCAATACACGTACTCACAGGTATTAAATTTCCTCTTCTATTCCCCCCTGTATGCCAAACCTTTTGTTCTCTTATGCTTTTGTAAATTTAGAGACCTCTTATCAGGATTACAACTTCTTTTCCACCCAGTTAATGTGTTTGTTGCAACTAGAAGAATCCGAAGAAAAACATAAGTGTAAAACATAAGTGTTTTCTTGAGCCAGGCTTCCTGTTAATAAATCATACTAAAGAACAATCAGATAATTCGCCATTTTCTACATCCAAATAGTTACTAGTATCATCCACCTTGATTATAGCGATACAATATCTATTTTTTTACAAATAACTATCCAATGAAATAATTCTTTATAATAAGTCAAACACAATACTTGATTCCGTGGCAACTAAACTGCTTATTTATTTACTATTATTACCTACCGTTATTGTCTGTTATCAGAATCTTTTATTTTACATTAATTCTGATAAAACAGCACTAAAAACTTATAATTATCATTCAGCATGTGCTACTGAATTTTAGTTGAATTGTTGCATTTGTATTAAAGTATAAATTTAATCAAAATGGCGTTTAAATTAAATTATTTATTATTCGACAGCCAAAAACTTTTATTGTTTAAAGGTGTTAATTTTAATTATTAGAAAAATATATTATAAAAGCTATAACTAAGCCAAGTGCTTTGTCACTTAAGTTTAAAGTATTTCAAAAAGAGGAGTTAATTGAGTTATGCAATGAACGGCTCATATGTAGCTTGCATTATATTTTCTGCAATTAATTATTTTCAAGTAGTGGAACTGATAAATCTATCTAATATTGCACTTTGAGAATTAAACTATTAGTCAAAATATCATATATTTTTCTTCGTAATGCATATTCGCAGCTTCCGGATATCTTTTTGAAATTGCAGGAGATTAAATATATTTTAGACAAATGTTTGGGAACAACTGAGGCAATTAAAAAACAATTGAAAGCAGAGCTTTTAAAAGTGTTATCGATTTTGGCCTTTTGAATTTCAAGTACGCATTTTTAGCCTAGGTGACGTTAAGGCACAAACGCAATGATTTTCTATTGCTAGGCTATATGCTAATAGAATTAAGTTTTTCCCTAACGTATTCGTTGTAAAAATCTTGCTTTGTTTGCGCAATGCATGTCTAATGCTATTAAACGACTGCAAGCGCTATTTCTGCGCACAGAAATAGAGAATTTAGCTCTCCATGGAGAGTTTTTAGAACAGCTGCAGTCTCACTGCTCTTGCAAAACATTATAATATTGCACATTCATTATTGATTACTTCCTTTGTTTCAGGACTCCCATGACTAGCTATGTTGTGAAGCGCGTCGATGAGACATTCGCCTCATTGGAGAAAGATATAAGAGCTGATTATGGCGAGAAATTCTTGAAAAGTTTCAAAGTATTTGTTGAGTTTTTTGTTAACAGATCTTCCAATAAAGCAAATGTTGTTGACCGATGCTCTGGAATCTGCGATAGCTCTGGAATACCCAGATGCAGTATACAAACCATGCCGGAATTTTGCAATACATACCGGGCGTTACATTTTGGAAAGCCTCCCAAGAAGCGTTGTTGACTGGCTCATGGGCATTTTTCTTGTACTGACGGGTTTTCCGACGCCTAAAGAAGCTGAAAATAGTTCATAATTGTAATTCAAAAGATAAAATACTTGATACCTATCCTTATACCATCTGATTATACTGAAAATTTATTTATATAATTTTATTGTTGCTGATGAAGATAATGTGCTTAACTAAAATGGCGATGGAATATTTGAAAATGTGTCTTTCGTATCCCTTACTTTACATAATCTGTCATTTAAATTAGAACTAAATCACAGCAATATCTTTATACCTTTATATTTTTAGTACTCTCTTCAAAAGGCTCGTAAGAGATTGTTAGGGTATTTTAAGAAAAAGAAAACAAAACAAAGACGATAAAATTTGAATGGCGGGAGAATACACCAAAATAAGTTTTTTTCTCATCACTAAAATGCACGGTCGAAAATGAAGCATAAAGACACTAATAGGCGTCTGATGGTGAAATAAAAAGTTGACGCGTGCAAAAAAAAAAGGGGGGGATGTCATAGAAGACTTTGAAAATAACAATAAATAAAAAAATAAATACATAAAACAAATAAAACTTTTACTACAAGTAAATTGCAATAATTTCGCGAAATAATGACGGCCACTTCATAGCGGCGAAATAATGATGGCTGCTTTATAACGGCGTGAAATGATCGGCAGACTTGCTGGATTAATACAGGCATATCCGGGCAACGATCGAAGTACTGGCGACGATTTCTTATCAGATGTAAAAGTAAACTTTTGAGATATCTCTACAGAAAGAAAGCAAGAAAAAGAAACGCAACAAATAGGGCGATTTTAGGGCCCCATGTGTATAATCATCTCGCGACAAATCTTGAAAGGTTCAGAACATTGTCATCCAAACATTTCTTTCTTTCGCTTCGAAAAGGGGCTGATACTATATCGCGCTGGAATCACAAAACTTGCCAGGTGCGCTACTTCAACAGAATCCCGTTAATCGAGTACTGACTGTAAGTTAAGAAAGTTAAGTTTGTTTAACTTACAGTCAATACTCCTGTTAGTCAATACTCCTGTTAACGGGATCCTGTTAATCGAGTATTGACTGTAAGTTAAGAAAGTTAAGTTTGTTTAACTATGGAATGATGTAAAAATTACAACCTCAAAGTATTGACTGTAGTTTAAAAACAAAGAAATATGTCAATTTTTTTTTATCAAAATCTAAACTCAGTTTTGAATGTTATTATCAAGGTTTAAGAAACCATAAATTTTTGTTATATCAAACGTCAGTTACTATTTGTAAACTAAATACATTTCAGACATGTTTTGATATATATAATATATCTGAATATATTAATTTTAAGCGCTGTCGCTATTTCATTAATGTCGTTATTTCATATCATTGCGAAGCTATGATATCTTTTATTGGCAGTAGAATGTTCCGTTTCATAACAGATTCTCTGAATTTCTAATTTCAAGATTATTAGCATCATAAACAATTTCATCTTCTTCCACATTTTGAAATCTTGAGTTGATGGATTAAACTTATGAAATAATAAATGTCCGAAATCTCAATTGAATATTCAACGATGAAAAGTTTTTTTTAATTATTCATCAGTTTCCTCTTTTATTAAAGTACACATGATTTATTAAATCTGAAATTAGCTCTTCCCTAAATGTACATTGGAACTACAATCTTTTGACATGGGAATAATTAAGTTATGCGAAATTAAATATCGTAATCATGATGAACGATTGATGAGAATTGATATCTCGTATTATTAATGTTCGATGTTTTTGATGCGATGAATTTGCATCGTAACAGCATATTAGATGTGTCAGTATATTAGATTCGTGTCAGCGTATCAAATGATTTTAAAATATCTTTTCATTCTTTAAATTTTCCCAGCAAGAATTTCTTTCAAGTTTCTTATAATCAATGAAAACTTTTTCTCTGCCTAGAATTCTTAATAAAGTTATAGACTTAACAGATATCTTTATGGTCAAACTTAGTTAGATTCTTCAACAGATTTTAAATTTCAATGCGTGAAAGTTTCCAAAAATTTTCTTACGCTCTTTTATCTTAAATTTTATTTCTTATTATAAACATATGGTGAACAGATGGTTAATTTTAAGTTCTTTCCATAAAATCATGTTCTAATTTAAAAGGTTAGCCTACTAAACCTAATTCTCCTTCTGTTACATTTCAAGCTTCTTCTGTTACATTGGTGCAGTTGCGATCTATTAGTATTTGACTACTACTTTTTCGTCTTCATAGGAATTTCAAAGGTTAATAAAACTTATTCATAAACGTGAAAGATTTGGAAAGGTAACGTCAAATAATTCAGTGCTATCAATTAAAAAGCGGATGCTTCGTACAAACAGTAAGCGTACATATTTATAAACGCTTGTACAAACAGTAAGCTCAGATATTTATGAAACATACTTTATCTACGCATGTGTTGAAAATAATACCCTTCTAGCTCAAAGTATTTGTCTACATATTTTTGCTTTGTTCCTGAAAACTTAATTTTTTTTTTTTTTTTTTTGTGTGTGTGTGTGTGTGTGTGTGTGTGTATGTGTTCTGGATAGTAATGGAAGGGAGTTTTCTAAAAATGTCTGGGCACTGGATTTGAAAATGATCAGTGATGTTCCTTTTCAGTTCTTCCAAGATGTGTGGCACCGTTTATAGATTTTCGTAAAACATCCTCATATGTAGTCCAGGTTGGAAGAACTGAATATCTCGGTGGTTATCATCTTTAAATAAAAGTTTTGTTATTAACTCATTCCTCCAGTACCATCATAGCAATATGGCAATTCGCACCATTTTGTAATATCCAGTGGGATGTCCGTTCTTTTGAAACAAAGCAATGAAGTGGTGGGTACTATCTTGGAAATTCTCGGTGTTCATAGGTCTTCAATGAAAGGAACCTGATAATTCATTGCTTTGAATTATCCACGTTAGACAATAATTTTACTAACTGAGCATTATGTTCGGCAATTGTGGCCATAAGCAAATCCTCTTCGATGAGACCATGTCTTATTTGTGAATAACATTTGATCTAAAATGAAAAAGGTTGCAATGAAAAAAGTTCTTACAAACCTACAGTCAAGAATATGGCGCATAACATCAAAATGTCCAACATCTGCTGGCCACAAAAGACTTATCAGATTCCCTTTCTGCTTCCAAAAAATGCATGCTTCTCCCACCATATTAATTTTACAACCTCTTATACATAATTCAAAAATGTGAGGGTCGGAGAACCACTACAATCGAAATAGTCACAATCTTATACACCTTTAAATGTACTATCCACTTTTAAATTGAACCTCTAGATCACAAGCAAGAACAATGAAAATAAACTTTTGAATGCATGTTATATTTACATATGGATTATTTTATACAAACTTAACAACATGATATTTAACATGTGCTCAAACGGTTTCAGCGAAATATAAACAGAAACACTGCATAGGAAGATGATCAATATATGCAGCTTATTACTCTAATATTTTAGAGGGCTGCAAACTCAACGTGTTAAAAGAAATCTTTTTCTTCCAAGTTTAAAGTGAGGTGGTCAAAATTCATTGAAAAAGTGTGCATTATTCGGTTCAAATACCAAAATATTAGCACTCGCAACTTTTTTCATCTTCTTTGTAAATTACACGCTGAACGGTGAAGATCCGTCATAGCGCAGGCTACTAACTCAGTCAATAGTACTCTCAATAAAATCTTAGCCTCTTTAAGTGATGTATTTGAGAATTATGATCTTCCTGTTCTAGGATTTGACAGCGGAGTCTCTTTTGTACTAGGTGCTGGCAAATCGCCCATCTGCTGTAAGATAAAGAAAAAGAAATTTTAAAAAATTTATTTGTATTTTTCTTAGTTTACAAAAATTCTATTACATTACATTAAACGTAAACTTATATACATAAACATTCAATGTATCAAATGTTGAGACAATAAAAGATGGCTTCAACGAATCTTTTGATTATAAATTTTTGTGATACTTAAAACCTTTTATAGGAAACATTTCTATCATTTAATATTTATTTACTTTACTTCTTGCATGGAATATTAACCAATTCAAGAACACTAAACACTTTGTTTGCTTTAAAGCACTTGTTATGCCTAAAGTCTACTTACTACAAAAAAAATGACCTGTTCTTTTTGCTTTAATTACAAAAGCCGATTGGGAGCCGAAATATCTATGTAATATTTTACCCTTAATTCAAACTCTGGTCGGTTATTTGGCGAAGCAATTTTGACTACCCAGCTAACGACCGAAGTAACCGGTTACTTCACAGAACAATTAGGAATAGCCGGTTAACAATAGATGTGGCCAGTTAGTTCTCAAGCAATTAAAACTGACCGGCTAACAACTGGGGTGGCTGACATTTTTGCGAAGCAATTTAGAACTAGCTGGCTAACACCGAAATGGTCTCTCACTTTACAAAACAATTAGAACTAGCCTGCTAACGACCGAATTTGCTGGTTATTTTGCGAAGCGATTTTGTTCGCTGGCTAACGACAAAATTGTCGGTAATTTCACGAAGCGTTTAGAACTATAAGGCTAATATATGTAAAAGAAGTTATTTCGTACACTATTTTGAGATTTGGCCGTAATATATCGTTCCCGCCAATTTGGGGGTTCGTAGAGATCTCCTTAACAACTTCACCAGATGTAGAAGAAATTGACATTTAATTGAAATAAATAAAGCTCATACATCAAAGTAAGCAACTATAAATAGCCTAAGGAGAAAAGTATACCTAAGAAAATGTTTTACGGGCGAAGGAAAGACGAAGAAATATTGTAGATCACCAAAATCGTAAGCAAAACGAGAATTGAATTTGAAAATGATCTATGTTTGAATTTACTATTGTATTTTCTGAATATAATTGATTTCGATATAAGTTCACATTTTGCTTGAGTTCTTCATATTCTGTTGGATGATAGATATTAGGTACTTGTTTGTCGTAGGCGTGCAACTTTGAAGAAGTAATCGTCAAACAGGTCCTGAATACAGTCGCATGATTTTAAAACTCAATCATAACTGGACTAGGCTCCAACAATTTGATATTTACAGGTTAAAAAAGTATCGCCCCTGGGGCTTCGAAAATACGTGGCTAAATTTGATAGAACTGGTGTTTATACTTCTGATTCTAATTCAGTTAACTTTGCAAGTCAAGCATCGGTTTAAAATCTCAAGAACAATAAGATAGAGTATGAAATAAACACTCACAGACAAAATAAGAAGTTATAAATATATTTTAACAAAAAAGGGCAAAATTATCATATAAAATGATGCCTTAAATAAATAAATAAAAATATTACTTAACAAACAAAAGTATACAAAAATCTAAATCATATACAAGTATTTGCATGAATTTAAATAATACATACAACAGGCAAGGCAAATTTATTTTTATCTTCTCAGTTTTAATTTTAAACTGCAATATATAACTATACAAAAATTTAAGGAACAGGAGACAGGAGACTACTGGGTGAGAGGCTGTGCCGCCATGAAGACTTTCAGCTTTATTGCTCACTCAGTGGGGCCACGTTTATTTAAAATTTTATATTACAATAAAAATTTTGATTTTGATGTATACATAATTTTGACATATACTTGACATGCATTGACAGAATTAATATAAATATTAACAGAAATTTTGATGGAACGTACATAGGGTATAGAATGCATGATGTAGAATACAAATAAAGATTTAGATACAAAATTTTGTTATATACATAATAAATAAAATAGGATTTTGATGATTTGTTGAAATGCAATAATAGTTCACAGTTGATAAATAGTTTATAATTCATAAATAGTTCACTATTCATAAAAGTTCACAGTTCTTAAGTCTGTTAAAATTTATTTATCTGCTGAAGTTAATAGTCTGAAGTAAGTTCTGATAAAGCGCTGATAAATTCTATAGTTAGTCTGAAGTACGTTTCATATTTGTTGATTGAAGTTGTGTTGCCTTGAAGTGGTGCTAATTATGTCGAAAAAATGATGATGTGGAATTGCGATGCCTTAATTTATGCTGCTTTTAGATTATCACAATTTTTCTATGAGATATTCCATTAAATTATGAAGTATTTTGCGGCGAGATTTACTTATGAGTAGTTGTTTGAACCATCCTTGGGCATTTTCACTTGTGAAAAGACGAAAGTGGAGGTCTTTAGTGATTGCACATTCAAACAGGTAATGATCTATTGTTCCTGTTGATCCACATATGCAGTTGTCTGCATGATACAAGCCGAAACGAAAAAGATATGAAATGAAGGGTCCATGTGCTGTTAGAAGATATGTTATTGCATTATTTGTTGTAACTAAATTTCGTGTTGGTTTTGGTAGAAATATAAAAGTTCGTCTGCCCGTATTATCTTGTGACCACATGAGTTTCCATTGTAAAATCAAGTTTTGTTCAAGTCTTGATTTTAAAAGTGATATTCAATTTGGTAAATAGGTTATTGCTGTTATAGTACCGTTTGCTGCTTCTTTTGCCAAGCTATCTGCCATTTCGTAGCCCAATGTCCCTATGTGGGCACGTGTCCAATGTAGTTTAGGTTTTTGTCCAGTTGGAAAATATGCATATATCTTGAACCAAAGGAGAGCGATTATGAGCAGCTATTGCTTGAGTACTTGAGGGACTGTCAGAAATTATAATACTGGTTATTGAGAATTGCTTTGCATACGTTATTGCTTCTCTTATAGCCAAAAGTTCTGCTTGAAATACTGAATTTGCATGATTAAATTTTGTTTTCCAGGTTTGTATAAGATTATTATTTCTGAAAACGCAATAAGCACTTCCTACGCCTAACTCTGTTTTTGATCCATCTGTAAAAATCTGAATTTGAAAATGATCTATGTTTTAATTTACTATTGGATTTTCTGAATATAATTGATTTGGATGTAAGTTTACATTTTGTTTGAGTTCTTCATATTTTGTTGGATGATAGATATTAGGTACTTGTTTGTCGTTGGCGTGCAACTTTTCTTTTAACGGCTTCTTTCAGTAAAGTCAGAGTAATTGGTGGAATACCTGAAATGATTTGTTGAGGACTGGTAGGTGTTGTTCTATACGCTTTTGTTATCGATAACAGGAAGTTAGTTGTCTTTTTGCATGTTGATTTAGATCTGTGTTCCAAGCAGAAGCGCCATGTTGAAGAATTTTATGCTTTTGTTATTGAGAGCAGAGAAAAAGCCGATGTATTGAAGTTAGTTGTCTTTTTGCATGTTGATTTAGAGCTGTACCCCAAGCAGAAGCGCCATGTAGAAGAATCTTTTATATTACTGTTCTATACCAAATTTTCTGATATTGAGAAGAAATTACTTTTTTCCAAAAAAAAAATTCCTTTTTCGTTAACTGCAACGTACAATGTACACTTCTTTTTTTTTTTGCAAATAAAATGTGGCTTATTAGTGGGCGTCCGCCAAAAACATCGCAGACGAAAACTTCGCGGAAAACACAACACAGCGAAAACTTCGTGGAACAGCGCATCGTCGCAGAAAATAAAGCAAAGATAAAATAGCGCAGCTCTAAAACGTCATGGTACAAAATATCGTCGTCGAAAATAAAGCGGTTGAAAAACTTTGCAGTTTAAAATCATCGTCGTCGAAAATATCGTGGTAAAAATAAAGCAACTATAAATCATCGCATGCCGAAAACATCGCAGGCGTGTGTTTTTCTGGCTTTTATCTGCAAAAGGATACTCGCATATTGATTTCTGAGCGCAAGATGGAAAGAAAAATAGTTTTTTACTTTCATATTTTTTTATTAACTAACAACTGTTTGTTGAAAATGTAAAATGGAAACTTAAGCATAGAAATTTAATGCAACTTTTGGTGGTCGTGTGCTTAATGCATGATATAATTAAAGAAAATAAGAGTAGACAATCTCCTATAACAAAAGAATATATTAAGTACTAAATTACAATTTAAATTACATTGCAGAGATCAACGCAGAGCTCGGAACACAGTTCATGCTACCGTCGCGTACAGTTGTCTGACTAGAAGTCTGAGTGAATAATGACGTCGCTTTGCTGCTCCGGTTAAGAACTGGATTTTACACGTGGCGCCATCTCATGAATAGAAGTTGAAGTATCCGTCGGAACGCCACAGTACTCCCCCCCCCAAGTACCATCGGTACGTTATAAGTACTTTGGGTTAAATTTAACCTTTCTTCTAGATCTGGTAGTTTTAGATTGCTCTTTAACGGGATGTAAGCTTTCTTCCGGGAGTGATGTTGATGAGGAAGTTGTTGGATCTTGCATTAGAAATGCTAGTTTGAGACGATCGATTCCAATCACTGATTGTTTGCCATTGCAGATGATGGTGAAATGTTTCGGTGTTCGTTTGACAACTTTGAATGGACCATCATATGAAGGTGTTAAAGTTGGCTTAATTGCATCGTTGCGCACGAATACGTGCGAAGATGTCTCAAGCTCAGGATGTACAAAATAGCTTGGCTGGTTAGGCGAAGATGCTGGGGTTGGCGAGATATTGCTCATGGTCTCACGTAAACGTTGAAGGAATGTTGAAGGGTCGATAACTGAAGTAGATTCTGGGTGAAAGAATTCACCTGGCAGACGGAGGGTTGCACCATATAACATTTCAGCACAAGTGCTACCAATGTCTTCTTTGAATGCTGTGCGAAGACCAAGCAAGACTAGAGGTAAGGCTTCTGTCCAGTGTGTGCTACTGTGGCACTTCAGACCTTGTTTGAGAGATCGGTGAAAGCGTTCCACCATCCCATTTCCAGATGGATGGTATGGTGTTGTGCGAATAATGCGAATGCCAAGAAGAGAGGTGAGGGATGCG